AAGCTGTGTCCGTTGAGTATTCTGAACTGTTTCAGTTATACAATCAAGACGCACTAGACAAATCTATCGTCAGTTGCTATTGTCTGTAAGTGATTTCTTTCTGTAATTTAAGTCTCAAGCTAGCTGTAGTGATCCTTTTGATCAATCATTACCTGTAATTATCCTCACTATATTCTTTTCTGTGGTATTATATGCAGGATGAAGATGTATGAAATGAGAAAAGGTGGACGCTATGGCATTGGGTTCATTGACCCAAACACCGTTAATGAATACACATGGAAAATAGATGCACGTCATCAAAAGGCCGTAGAGGACAGCATGCTAGAGTTCTTGAAGCGCCTCAAATACAATGAAGATATACTACTTCCTTACAACTTCCAGTAAGTCACATTGTCTTGTACTACAAATTCTCTGTTTTTGCCTACTAGCTAGCTACATGTTTTTGCTTACATATGCCCGCTTAATTAAGACATGCAAACGTGTGTGCATGCAGATATCACTGGGTCTTGTGTATCATTAAAGTTGACGCCGAAACAGTTGAAATACTGGACTCACTACTCAAAGAAAAAACTGACTATAACATCTTGTTTGGGATAGTCAACAGGTAATTTCAATCATTATTAACTATATATCTCGGCCTATTTAGTTCGTCATTTCATGATATGAACTATTTAATAACCCCTTTATTCATTTTTTTTGTCAGCGGGCAGGGCTTGGGCAAGGTTCATCAGGGTCACTGAAGGCGAATGGAAAAAAAAGCTTAAATGGAGAAGACCCAAGGTAAGTAATTAAGTAGTACTAGCTAGCTAGCTAGCTGCCATCTCTTTAATTATCATGCTTGATTAATTATTATCTGATCAAATTTCATTCTCGTAAAGGCTCTGAAGCAGGCGCAGGGAACTGATCTGTGTGCATTCTGCGTTTGCGAGAACATTCACATGATGGCGTCCGAAAGGAGCAGATCTCAAAGACAGGAATGGGTACGCTTGTCAAAACACTATTCACAATTTTTACACCATTATCGATATCTAGTCACACAACTAATACACATGCATATTGATCTCCTTCTTAACAGTTCAGAGAGGTGCGGGAGAAGCTCCTAGAAACGGAGCGCGTAGAAGCACTTCAAGAGGAAATAGCGGGATTTTTGCTCGACCAGGTCATAAATCCGAAGGGAGAATACTATTACCCGCTACCGCCCCCATGAAAACCACTTCCAATTGTCATCGTGCTCCGAAGGCACCAATTAGGCTAATGCCACTGGCTCTGAAGGCAACATGCATATGTAGGAGAAATTGTATATAGCTATACATGTGTGTATGTGTGAATTAATTAATATGATGGTTTATGAGACATTGATGATATATATATATGCATGATTGGTTCTACTAGAAATTCTATTTATATATATATATATATATATATATATATATATATATATATATATAGGAAAATTGGTCAGTACTCCTAGGAGTACATACTCCCGGGTCCGATTCATCTCCTGTGCGACCCACGGCGTCCTATCTGGCCAGCAAAAATCTAAACCGGTCGTTAGCCTCCCGATAAGATAATTGTTTATCCCTAAGAAAAAGATAATTATTTAAATTGTTGGAACAGAATCCTTTTTAATAGGGATACCAAACGTCATCCTTGGAACTAATCTGCATCGATCTATTATTCTCGCACATACCTCGCTGCTACGGTAGGCTGACCTATTTCTTGTAGCTTCGTCGCCGCCGTCGACGGCTCGCGCCATGCATCGGCACGGAACAAGACGACGCCCCGTTTCTGCCCAGCAAGTCTCCGATGTTGAGCGCCCTTCACCGCGCACGCCCCCAGTCAGAGTCAGCCACAACTCACACACGGAGTATGTTGCTTATCAGCGATCTTCTCTCCTGTGTAAACACATCCATGTCCATTAACCTCATGCATGCATGCATCTGCACTAAGAAAGTTGGAGGTTCTCAAACTAGTGATGGCATCGGTGCGTACAGCCATGGGCAATTGGGCATGCATCACATGGCCGTTGATGGTGAGTCTCGCATGCATGTGTTTTCCAATCGGCATTCGGTATGGCAAGCTACATCTTCTCTTTCATCTAGTATGATCGCATTGCTTGTACATCTCTCATATGAATAAACTTACCGTCTATACGGGCCTGATCTAGATGACAACACACGACTGTTTTTTCAGAGAAAACTACACGCATGAACGGCTCCACAACTATGAAGCAAGAGAACATGAGGACGGATATATTCCAAGGACGCGACACTGTGAACTAGATCGATCGATCCATCATTCAAGATGTGATACCCAGAAAACGCTATACAAATGCTCCCATGATGCACATATACAATTTAAGTCATCAAATTTGAGTGGGCAAATACCAGTATTCAAAATGGATTATACTTTTTTTAAGTTTATACATCTCTGTGGGTAAACTATACTAGCTCTATGAGTAGTATTTATAGTCCATTGCAAAAATGTGGTTTATACTTTGTCACAAAAATTGTGGTGTACACTCCAACGTGAAAAAGTGGTCTATAATTTATTGAAAAAGATGTATATACTCCATCGAAAAAAATATTGTATATGCCCCCATCATCAGAAACTGGTATATGTATATGCTTCATATACTTAAGTGAAACATGGCCTATACTTCATAAAAAAAAGGGGGTATATACTCTCGTCTCAAACAAATTGCGGCATATACTTCACTGAAAAAATGTGGCATATACTTCATAAAAAAAGGTTATATACTCTATGGCAAAAAATGCGTCACCGCAACAGTATGGTATATACTACCTTACGAAAGTAGTATATATATGACCTATAAAATTAAATGCATGTAAGCTCACAGAATTAGCAGATATACCTCACGTGTGTGTACTAATTCCCTTGAAAGTATATACTTGTACACACTACATGGAGCATGCGTCATGTGGTCTAAAATAGTTTAAAATAGGTACGATGCGGTGGACTAAAAGATTACCTAATTTCTAGATTAACCACCTACACGCCACACTTTTGGGAAAGTTGTTACATGCTTCATTTTTTCTCCTGCGTATTAGTTTGTTAGTGGGTTTATCCAAGTCAAAGGATCCGTTAAGGGGTGGGAGTATGTACTCCCGGGAGTACGGAAGAGGAGTCCTATATATATGCATAACGTGTACAATGTGTAGTATCGTAAAATACCAGCAAACGAAAAAGAATTAAAATGGAAACACAAAATTAAATGAAAAAGAAATCATAAAACTAAAACCCCCCCAAACCTTAGAGTACCGGTTGGTTTTACCAACTGGTACTAAAGGGCTCCAGGCCCCTGGAGCTGGCTCGTGCCACGTGGTTTCCCTTTAGCACCGGTTCGTGCTGAACCGGTACTAAAGGGGGGGGCCTTTAGTGCCCACACTTTAGTGCCGGTTATGGAACCGACACTAAAGGGCCTTACGAACTGGTGCTATTGCCCGGTTCTGCACTAGTGCTTCTTCCTCTAGGCACACGAACGCCCGCACTGCAGCCTCGCCGTCCTGGTCTGCCCGAGTTGCCGTTGCTGCCACCGGTCATCCCTCTAACCCACCTCCACCCAAACCCCACAACCCGTTGCATGTCCTCCGCTGACGACACCGGGACAAGTTGCGTCGTCCCTGCCTCCATCTAGGTCCTAGATCTTCATCTTGGAGACGCCACCACAAGTAGTGTCGTCCCTGCCTCCGTCCAGGTCCTAGCTCAGCATATTGGAGACGTTGTGGCAGGCAGTGTCGCCTCCATCTCAGCCTTAGCTCCGTCTTACCTACTTCTCAGGCACATGTCTACTGACGCGGCTCAAAATTCCAGTCACCTGAAAAGCAGCCAGTAGGCATTTGGACTTCACTTTTATAAGAGAGAGAATTAGGAGTACATATCGACTGATCATTACTCTCGATGGTGAGCATGTTATTGACCGTGAACCCATATTAGGCTATTTACACAGAGGAATGAAAAAAAACACGGAAACTGAACTATTATACAATACTTACCTTATCTAACAAAGATATAGAGAGATTGTAGAAAGGGATAGGATAGTTATTTTTTCAAGAGACTTGTTGTAAATTCCGTAACTTAAAAACTAAAAAGGGTGGTCAACATTCTGGTGCCGACTTCACTATCCCGACTGATTCCGTTATAGCAACATGATATTCCAAATTTTATCATGATCTCACATATGAGCTCAAAAATTAAAATAATCTACTCCCATATCCTAGCTCTAGGTAATACTAAGGTTACATTTTTTATCCTACCAAAATTACATAAACCCTTCCTTTCTAAAAAGATTTAGCATCAGGACATGCGTGCGGTCCCCTTTTAAGATATTAATGTAAATCAATTGATTAACCAGCAATACTCCTATTCTTGGAAATTATAGAAGTTTATTGGATTTCGGAATTGATTTATCCAGTAAATTAAGATCAGTTCCAAATATATAATTCAACCAAAACATGATTTCACCACAACCGTAGTAATTAGAGCAGAAGGTCCTATCCAATCTATCACCCCTATACATACCACAAACTTCATTCAAAATACATACTGCCGAGTGCCGACTCAAAACCATCCAATACTCCTAGTCTTATACAGACTGCACACACTCGTAAACCAAACCCTCATTAAAACAATACATCAACCAGCTATACACCCAAATGTATGTACATATATTTGTACCAGCAATCTGTGATGCTCAAGACAGATCAGTGATTGCCCCCATCCTGAAGGAAGTGAACCAACTAAGTAGAGTTTGTTCTAGTTTTCCATTTAGGCTTGTGCACAGACCAGCTAATGTTGCTGCTCACCCGTGTGCAAAAAATGCTTCGCCTGAGCGGCAAAGGTGTGCTTGAATAAATATGAATCATGGCTTCGTTTTCAGCCTTCAGCTTGACTATAACTCTACTTATTCAGTTCGGAAAAGCTCCCGATTCCCCAAAAAAAGTGCACGTGCATGAAACAAGGATCTAGCAAAAAAACACTTAAATACAGTCAAATTCTGAAGAAAAAAAGGAATAAAAGTATGCAGAAGGAGCAACACATCTCTGTTTATAAGAAGTACACAAACCACATATTTCATATTTAGGAAAGGAAACCAAGATATAACCAAGAAAAAGAAAACATAGGATCCATAAACGTAAGTTTCTGTAAATTGATGAGGCAGCACTAACCTCATCAAAACTTTTCCCATCATGAATAGCCCGTTCGTGTCTCTCTTCATTGAGCCGTTTAAAGAGTTGTTCTTCTATATGATCGCTAAGCATGGCCCTTGGCAGATCTTTAGCCCCAAGAACAGAATTTTGTGGCAAAGGCATGCGTAAGCCATGCTCGATCTCCCAAACACAGCACTTAGGGCAAGTTTAATCTGCTTCTTTGGAATCACCCCATTTGAAATTTAAAAGGGCACAAACCAGACGCTCCCAACGTTCACATTTGTCACACATTACACAACGTAGATTCAAGTATGAAGTTTATCCTTAGGAAATTGATTACCTTCCACCTGAATTGTGAACTATGAGTCTCATTGTAACACATGATACAGAAATTGTGACAAGTATCAGTAGCAGTAGCAGTATAGTATGCATTTCATTTTATCCAAGCAACACAAGGAGAACAATAAATTGGTGGAGGCTAAAAAAAGGTTCTCTACTTTGCAAAGCTTGCATATGTTATCATTTTCAGTGTATTCAATCACTTGATACTTTAGTACTTTAGCATTGCTCTGTCAAATGATCGAACATTATAAATAGTTTACACTTTGTAGTGCAATAAGCATATAACTGTTTAATATGCTTACACTATGAACAATGGTAATACCAGTGAAACATGTACATAGCTATGAACATGGATCGATCATTATTGTCATCAATGAAACTTATATAAGAAAATTGCAAACGGAACTTCTTGATAGAACATGTGCATGTCTAAAAATAGATCATTGTAGACTCATGGTTCATAGCTATGAAGCACCGGCGTTACGGATACGGCGATAAGGAAATGGGGATACGGTAATTTCAAGAAACAGTAATACGGCGGTATGGTGGGTATATATAAATAATTAATAAAATGGTACGTAAAGAAGAACAAATAATCTATGTGCGAGATGACATGAGATCAAAATACTGCCCCTTTGTTGCCTTCATGCCTCTTTTTATATCATCAATGACTGAATGATCATTAATTTTCTAGATCCTCATAATTGAATGTTGTGTATCTCTGGACTCACTCCCTGGCCAGCACAGCAACAACATCAGGAGGACAGCAACAGTAAGCAACAACATCAACAGGTCAGCAGCAGCAACAACAATGTCAGTATGAAACAAAGCATAGCTGCATACAAGATGCAAGCATTATACAAATATATACAGCAAAGCAGCAGCAGGCCAGCAGCAACAAGCACCCAGTGACAAGCCAACAAGCACGCAGCTTCAAGCACAGACAGCACACACACGCAGCCGGCAAGGCGGGAGGACGGAGGCATGGTCAGGCCAGACTTGGCTGAGTCCCTGTGCAAGATAACAAAGTGAGACCCTTTGCCGGTTCAAGTGCCAATTAGACCTTATATTTGTCCTAAAATTTCTTCAATGACTTCCTTTTGAGAATTTATAAACTCACGTGTTAATCTTCTCTTTCTTTCTTTTTCATGTTACAAATACTTTTGGGATGACATCTTAAAACACAAAGGCATGAAACTTGAAAAATCAAACCTGGAGGAGGGAGAGCGACCATGGCACAACACCACATAGGCGTGAAAGAAATCCAGCAACGAACGCTTGCCGACGGAGTAGTACTGCTATACAGGTCTTCTCTGAAATTAGTAGTACTGATTACTGACCCTGATTGATGTAACATGTATTGACCTTGATTGCCGGAATTAGTAGATAATGGAGTAGAGTAACCTTCTCTTGCTCTCTCAAGTGGAGCATATGGAGAATTAGTACAGCCCAAAAAGAAGTAAAGCACAAATTAGATCGGATACAAAGCAAAGCAACCTGCTCCGCTTATAGAGGAGGATCTTTTACTGACCAATGCAAATTAGAGAGTAAATCATAGGGATCAACGAATCACTGATGGCTTGTTGATTGCTCGCACCGACTGCACATGCCCAGGCCAGGGCCTAACCGGAGGAGAGCAGTTACCTTGCCGGCGATGGTGCGGATTTCAAACCGGCAGGGGGAAGAGGGATCCACGCCGCCGCGCCGCGGGCTCGCGCGCGGCCTCGTTCGCCTCTCCGGCCGCCACACATGCGCCCACTTCGTCCTTTGGGAGGAGACCGGTACGGACGGAGAGGCGAGGAGGAGCGGGCGCCGCCGCGCCGTGGGCTTGCGTGCGGCCTCCATGGCCGACCCGAAAGAGCGCCACCACGCCTCCCCTTGCCTCCCGGCGGTGGCCGCACTCCTTCCCGGCTTCGGCTTCCAGTGCATGCCGCTACGGGCCGCTCTGGCGAAGAGCGCGCCGATGAGGGCGTTGTGCGGGCGGCGGGGAGAGTGCCCGATGAGGGCAGTTCGGTTGAGGATTGGGGGTTGCGTCATTGTGGGAGAAGGGAGGAGGCGGCGCTGTTTTCCTCGATCTGGGGAGAGAAAGAAGGATCGCGGAGGCAGAATCAGCCTGAAAACTAGGGAGCTGCGAGCGGAATCGAGGGCGCGATTGTTTCCCACGTGCGGGCGTGGGAACGGCAGAGTTTTCGTTCTCCCTGTTCTCTTGTTTAATAGTAGTGTAGACCAGTAAATGTGTACCTTCCCTAAAGAAAAAACTAGTAAATATGTACTCCCTCAGTTTTTATTTACTCTGCATATTAGAGTTGACTAAAGTCAAATGTTTAATCAAGTTTATAGAAAATAATATAGACATTTATCATAATAAATCTATATGATGTTGTTGATTTGTTATTGTATATCTTAATATTTTTGTTTATAAACTTGGTCAAAATTTATAAAGCTTGACTTTGACCAAAGTTAATATGCGAACTAAATAAAAATAGAGGGAGTACATGCAATGTAGGTTGATATTAGACAGTCTATTAATTACACACATATAAAGCAGGGCAAAAGACTTTTTCGGTATTGTATTTGTATTGTAAATGCAAATATTTCTTAATATAAAAATGGTCAAACCATTTTCCCCTTAAAACAAAACTAATATGTGAAATAATATGAAACAAAGGAAGCAATTGATAAGCCTCACATAAAACTCGGTTGCGGTGTTGTGAAAACAAATGAGACAACCTATGTCCCTGGGCTACCCTCAACGGCCTCGTCGTCGGACATGACACACTTGCGATTTTGCGAAGGCGGGTGGATGGTAAATTGATGGTGGACATGTTGTACTGGTGGCTCGGACTGCTAGGTGGAGACTTGGGGTGCCAAATCGAGAAATAAGGGATCGAGTCACTCCCGCGCCTCCTCAGAGCTCAGTGCATTCTGGCCGTCCGATCCGTTTTTCTGATGCGATTCTAGCCGTCGGATCAAGCCTCTGGACGATCTGGGCCGCCGGATCAAAAAACGGCGCTGTAGCAATGAATAGTTACCATTTTTTCCCGGCCTCGCTCACTCGATGGCTTCGATCGGAACTCGATGACTTGTGGGGTAGCACGCTGGCGGACCCACATGTCATTCTCTGTGGCTGGGACACGTCCGGTGCAGCCCGTCGGCGCGGTACAGCGGTAAAAGATCTCATGCCACCGCCGAAATTCCCGTCCCCCGCCGAGGGCATTTTGGTTATTTCACATCTTAGGTCAACACTTGCCCTTTTCCGATTCGCTGCCTCCTCCCCAATGAGTGCAGGGTTCGATATCTCCTCATTTTCTCTCCTGCACGTCTCGAGAGAGAGCCGCCGCCGCCAATCATCCTCCCCGTCCGCCGCTGCCGCCAACCATCTACAGCCGCACCATCATCCCCTCCCTGTTTCTCTCCTGTGGCTGAGCCAGCCATGGCAAGGAAGAAGCACAAGTCCTCTTCCTTCCTCCCTCACCCCCGATATGAATCCTCAGACAGCCGCACGCATCCCATATGGTGCCGCCCAGCTCGCCGCCCTCGGCCGCCGAGCCATCGCGGGGCTCTCGCGCAAGCGCACGACCTCCTCCAAGGCCGCGCCCGAGGCCGACCTGGAGTTCACGGTCACCAAAGAAAGGTAAGGTAAGGGGAGGGGAGGGGAGGGGAGGGGAGGAGAGGGATCGAGCAACAAGGTGAGGCAGCGCCCAGATCCACAGGTCCACGACCGTCCTCGAGGTCGGCCATGGAGGTCCGGTCCGGCCCGATAGCAGCCATGGAAGGAGACACCCGAATCCGTAGCTCTCCAAGGACGCGCTAGCTGCAGGCCATCTCCGGCGAGCTCGTCCACGGATCTCCAACTATGGTGCGTGCACATGATCCCTGAACCCCTTGTCTGGCCGGTTTCTTCATCTCCCCTCCTTGTGATTCCTTGGTTTGTTTTGTGTGAAGTTGCTCCGATCTGGAAGAGGTGGTGGAGTTGTTGTTGTTGCTGCTACAGGTGGACGAGGCACGAGCCCTCATGGCTCCTCCCTCCTCCTCCCCCCCATGACGTGGTGAGCTCCACCCCCTCTTCCTACCACCTGCACATATATCTTATCTAGACAATTTGATTGCAATTGTGGTTCTGGACACGACCTGGCAGTGATTGCTAATTTCAGTGTTTAAAAATTCAGTTCAATTCAGTCACGTTCTTTTTCTTTTGTGCGGAAATTCAGTCACGTTCAATGTTCAACTTTTAGAGTTAAGAAATTGTTGTTATGACCACTGTGATTTAGATGTTCAGAAATTCAGACAAGTAGTATGATGAAATGAGCCACCTTTTAACCCCCTACTAAACCTACTGTGAATGTGTAGAGAGCCAATGAAGGGAGGTGTGGACATTTTACCATGTTCATAGGAATAAATCAACATAAAATACATAGCTTGTAGATGGTTCGTCAACCACCATCAAATCCGAGTTGTAACTTTCTGGACTAAACTGAACTATGCAATTGACTCAAATAAAATTGAACCGTGCAATTGACTCAAAAATAAATAGAAAATATACTCTGGCTGTGTCTGCAGAATTACATTATGGAAAGATGTGTGTGTGGTTATCCCATCGCCGTCGGTTCCAACTTTGTCCATCATGTCGCTCTGATGAGAAAACCTCGTTCACGTTCATTAATAGGGCAGCGTGCTGCGGAAGTATCTATGTTGAACAATTATAACAGTACCAAGTAAGTTTGTTCCAATTGCATTTGATGCAGAAGGCATGACACCGCCATCATGCGTCAGGTTTAGGTAGAAGGCACGTCACCGCCACGCTCTCCTCCACAACAACG